ATGAGATCAACGGGGATATTTAGCGGGGTGTAGGGTTGAAGTGTTAATATCCCATTCAACAGTGTTGATGTTATATTATCATACAGATCGAAAATGTGTTGAATACTATTTCATCGGTTGTTATAATATTTTATGTACCGGATGACCTATTCTGTTTATTTTAGTCACCTGCACTATCCAAGGCCCATATTGAGCAGATATTTCACTTGGTCGCTTTCGTCACAGAAAATTATGTGCACGTGAGTACAATGTTACGAGATGTAGGGATCGATGCACATCCCTCCAAAATCTTACTATTCAACTGTTTTTTGTACATGGCCTTGCTTTTTATTTTTGAGCTTGACTTCTCAGTGCTATCCAATTTGTCATCGACATGGACATGGACAAACGTTTCCGTCGTGTTACACGTAATATTATTGATATAGGTATAGACGAAATTGTTGCTGAGTATTTTCACTAATTGTGGTTAAAATGGAAATACCGAAAAGACGTGGTAATTCAACCTTCTGAATAATTAATAGTCGCGTGCGGGTAATGAATGACGACGACTATATGAATATTTTCATATATGAAAATATATATATATATAAAAGGTAGTCGACTTATAATAGGTAGTATATTTACAATTAATTTATATGGTAAGTACATTGAGTGTCGCTAATTGATTCGAAGAAAAGTATGTTCTTTTACTTATTAACTTATATATATATATAAATATACTTGTGTGTGCAGGTACTCGTAAGTTTTATAATAAAATATGAATTTATTTTGCAAACAAAATATTTCCTTCGTCGTTATCTTCAATGGTTACCATTTTGCCGTGAAAAAAGACTTTATTGGTCTTTTTCAAGGAACGCTTGCTTGTCATAATCTAATTTTAAACCTTTAGACGTTTAACAAACGAAAACACACATCCAAAAACTGACAACTTGATGCGCGTCAGTTGCAACTCGTAATAGTTATTTCTAATGTAATTTTTGTTGGGCATCTAAGCTGAACTCTTCATACGCGTCATATCCAACTGTTTAAAAAGTTTCCTGAATTGTTATTGTTTTCGTTTTGGAGTCCTTTCGTGTTTAACATGATTAGTACTCTATAATGGTATTCTAGTAAGAAATTAACTTCGCTTCGAGAAATAAACAGCAATGAATAAAAACTGTTGCTTTGTGAGTACTTTTTATTATGCGTCGGTTTCTATTGTGGAAGGGAGTAGGGAATGATAAATGAGAATTTTATGGGTTTTGATTTTCACGGGCAACGAATAGATGCATAACTTTTTTGGGTGGAGTAGTTATCATTAAATTTATTTTCTCTGGCATGTATTTGAATAAAAAATATTAACTATAATTCGTCAGGGTGCATAGTAATAATTTGGTTCCATCAATATTTTAGTGATAAGAACGGTAAACAATTAATGTAATGATCATAGTTAATACATATAGATAGCCACCTCGTTTTATAATCTACATTCCAATATTATAACTACAACAATGAGTACATTGTAAATAATGATTTCGTACCACGATGAAATACAGTGAATTACTACGCTTAAAAAAACATTGTTGTTTTTCCATGTGAGAAAATCTTTTCTTTTGATTTTCTTTTTTTTTAACTTAAAATATAAAAAATGAGTATAATATTTTACACTCATTTTTTTGATTTTATACAATGAGATTTTATTTGTAAAAACGTACGTTTATCCAGTAAGAATTTCATAAGAAAATGTATTACGATAGGAATTGCTTTGACATGTATTGTAAAATGTAACATGTATTCTGACATGTTGTTTTTGTATTAAATATTAATTAATAGTTATTTATGAAACTATGATACTATTTTGCGTGTGTCCATATAATTTTATAATTTAATAAAAGGCAATTATTTTTATTCCAATCGAATTTAATAAACATTTCATCTAAAATGTATACTTCAATCCATGGTTTCATTATATTTTTCCGATTTATTTTATTATATAGTATATTATATTTGGAAATATATTTGTACTATCCGTGAATTTTTTTTATTTTATAAGCAATTTTTTAAGACGTATTATATATTTTCAAATAGTTTATTTGAGTGTTATTATTTTAATTAAAATATCCTAACAATATAAAACATGTAAACAAGTAAACAATGATTTTCTATTTAAAAATATTTATCTATAACATATTAACTTAAATAGATGATTTATATCTAAAATGGTTTGCCTTTTTTTTTTTTCTAATCGAGAGTAGAAATTCAAATTTTTTCGTAAATTATACTAATCTTTAAATTTAAACGTTTATCAAATTACTTTAAAGTTTAATTAGGTATTAGTTAAATATATGTTTTTTTATTTAAATATTTAAAAATAAATGGATTTGGTTATTGTAGTAATATTTTTGGGTTTGTATTGTATTTTGTAGGTTCTGTATTTTATACATTTTTTAGGGCACAATATCCAGGTCCGAATAAAAGTATTTTATTCATATTTACCAAACCAGACGGCGTATTGTATAGGCAATTCTGGTACTCTAATGGGTTTTTTTTTATTTTAAATGGTTTTTATGATTGAGATTTCAGTTATGATTTTATAATAATAATTATTATTCAATATAATTTTTATTCAACTGGTTTCGACGGATTGTAATATTTGGAAGAAGGTACATAATAGTAAAAATAATATGAATATGAAAATAAATTGGGACGAATACATTCGCTTGTAATTTTTTATGATTACGTTGCATATTGTTTTTTTAAAGGTATGATTTTGGAAATTTTATAAAACTACAGCCTTGTGCATCATAATATATTATATATATATTTATTTGAATTTATTATTTATCGTTCAATTTTTTTTTTGTCGATTACTTCCTTGTATCTTGATACTTTCGATTTCGTTTCTATGATAACTCATGATGTTGAATTTAAATACTATTTTTTAAAAAAAAATCGATAAAATAAAAAAAGTAGCAGATGCAGCACTGTAGAAATAAAATACTTTATTGTATTGATTGATCATTGTTTAATTTTAAGTGTTAGTGAGATATTTTTTTGTTCTTTATGAAATAATTTGTTTTGTTTTTTAATGGTCTTTGTTCAATATGATTTATTATAAATATAAATTAATTTTTAAGTATCTGGTTATAATAATAAATTATAACAAAATATTTTTAAATTTAATAGTAGCTATTACATATGAGTATATATATATATATATATATATATATATATTTAATTTCATACTAAGTTATTTTTATACATTTTTAATTTGTGCTATTTAACAGTAAGTAAATTTGAGATAAAAGGATTATAGATTGAATGTAAAAAGAGTTATAAAAATTATTTAATGATTTTTAGCTAAATACATTGCTTTACGACTGTTCCAAATAATAATTACTTTTGTTTGAAAAGGTCGTATGTAAAAACAGAAAGTTATTATTGCAAATATATTATTACTTTTTAGTTATATAAAATATTATTAAATTGTTATTTTGTTACTTTTGTACGCGGTTTTAATTAAACTGACGCCAAATTAGTTTGAAATGAGTAATCATTAAATTATACAAAACATTCACAGTTACGTATACGAGTATATTGAACATTTTACCAATTAACTGTGATTATTATTGACAATGTTATGTTATTGATTTAAGTAAATCTAAATATTATTATTTCCAAGTGCTTGTTATAGAAGATTTTTGTAGTTGAAGTACAATTATTTTTGATAATTTTAATAGTACTACGGTCTCATTAAATTTAGTTTTAATTTATAAACAAAATAATTGAAAATGTCTTTACTAAATTAATATAATCAAACGAATTATACCATCATAAGTAACGGTCAATAATAATTAAATTTAATCGAAAATCACCAAATGAAAGTGCTAAATATAGTTTTTCTTCTTATAATAGAGAGTTGTATTTTCCAAGGCAGGTAATTTAAATATATAATTTGAACACGGTCAGTGGCCATGCGTACAATTAGCATTTATGTTGGATCACTTTTTAGCCAATCAAAAACGTACGACTTGATAGTGCGACATGTTGGGTTTTCAGTTTTATTTTCGTTGTTAACTTGTATCAGTACTAATACTGTTCTCGTATCGATTCTAGCGCAAAATAAAAATATCATAGATTATCCTGGTGATATAACATGTAATGTAAAAACGGGTTGTAATTCAGAGGGCAAAAAGTTTTTCACATACAACTTGTACACCACCGTGGAGCTTAAGTGATCTTTTGTAATATGAGGGGTGGTGTGCACATTGTTATTCGGTCGAACTTTTTGAGTTTTGCTATCAAAAACAGCTGCCACGGCGTTTAATGACTAAATTGTATAATTTTGTTTGTCACGCATTTACACACACACACACACACACACACACACACACACACACACACACACA